ATTCTTCCAGATTATTTCATTAAACTGACATTCAAGACTAATGCATACGATTTTTTATGGTAACCAAACCACAAAAAGCCCACATTTAAGATATAAGAGAAAGCATCAGTTGTGGGACAAGGTTTTGCTAAATGTCAATAGTCTTTTTTTTTTTAAGCAGTGGCTAGCCAAAGAAAGTCATTAATATTAACACAGATAATGGCAGAAAACTACAGAAACTCCAAATATAAAAAGGCTGTTCATGTATCCTAACAGCATAACCATTATGGTTGAAAAACCACACAATATTCTTTCCCACATCTGTTTTGTTAATGAGCCAAGAATGAGGGTCTATTGAATATCCCAGACGACTGAATTAGAAGTAGGAATGTCTGGTGAATGCTGTTCATCTCAACAAACTGAAACTAAACAGGTTTGGAAAGGATACTATTTTTAAATAAATTATCTTTTTAGTTTTACCTTCCTGGTAACAGAACTATCACTTGCCTTTTCCCTCCTATCCATTAAGAAAAAACCCCATAAATTACTTAAGATCCTAGTTTTAAGTATCATAAGAGAAAATGTTTTGTTAGACTAACAAAATATTTAATTCATCTTTCAGGTGGACTCGCCAGTATTTTAAGACTACGGAAACTACTGAGAAAAAAGATGGTTGTGATATAAAGCAACATAGTATTCAACTAGACTCCAATAGCTTATAACAATTTGTCAAGAATTCTTCTCTGAGCTAGGGTTTCTCCATATACAACAGAGAACTCTTCCAGGAAATGTCCCCTTTACAGGGCCCCAGGCCTCTTTGCATACTATCAGACCAGGCTTATAGAACCAAACAAATGCAATGTTCTCATTGGGAAATAGAAATTAATTCTCAATTACCAACTTACTACATAAAATTCTCCAAAAGAGCAAAAGGAAGTAGCATCTAGAAATCATTTCATTCATTATAACTGCTTTCCTAAATTACTTAATTCCCTAAAATTTTTTAAATTAGTAGATTTATTAATTTGAAATTTGGTTTAAAAATTTAAAGAGTGGTTATATCAGGGTGATGGAATCATGGATAATTTTTAAAAGTCTCATCATGTTAATCAAATTACATTTGAGAGTTACACATACGTTTTTTTCCTTTACTTTAAAGTCTTTGTTTAGAAGAAAAACGTTTTCTTGCCTCCTTTTCAGTTTTCCCTCAGAGTGATCCATCACCGTCAGAGAAATTAAATTCTAAAACAAAAATCAAAATAATCTTGGCACACTTTCATAAGTCCCACTGCCAGTCAAAAGTAGCAAATACTAGGAAAAAAGTTATAATGGCCACTCCAGAGCACCACAAACTAAAATTTAAGTGACAACCAAGTAGAAAAACCATGTTCAAAATTCATGCCCTCCAGACAGAGCAGCATTTTGACATATTTTTCTTCAAGACAAAAATCTACAAGTGAGAAAATTTACATAACAATAAAAACTCTTCCCAAAATGAGTAAAGAAGACTGTTTATTTTAAATACTAAACTGAGTGGGAAAAGAAAATAAATAAATAAACTGAGTGGGCCGGCCCCGTGGCTTAGCGGTTAGGAGCGCGCGCTCCAATGCGTGCTCCGATACTGGCCGCCCGGGTTCGGATCCCGGGCGCGCACCTACACATCGCTTCTTCGGCCATGCTGAGGCCGTGTCCCACATACAGCAACTAGAAGGATGTGCAACTATGACATACAACTATCTACTGGGGCTTTGCTTTGGGGAAAAAAAAGGAGGAGGATTGGCAATAGATATTAGCTAAGAGCCAGTCTTCCTCAGCAAAAAGAGGAGGATTAGCATGGATGTTAGCTCAGGGCTGATCTTCCTCACACAAAAAAAATTAATTAATTAAATACTAAACTGAGAAACTAATGGCATTATATATTTTAGTATTTTGAACCCACTTTTATCCACACTTCATTCAAATCGACCTTCCATACATGCAATTTTTGTTTCTTTGGAACTTGTTCTCATATGACTTCTCTTGATTTTTATTATTAAAGAAATGCAGAGGGCCAGCCCCGCGGTGCAAGCGGTTAAGTGCTCTCGATCCGCTGCGGCGGCCCGGGGTTCCTGGGTTTGGATCCCGGGCGAGCACTGACGCACCGCTTGGCAAGCCATGCAGTGGTGGTGTCCCATACAAAGTGGAGGAAGATGGGCACGGATGTTAGCCCAGGGCCAGTCTTCCTCAGCAAAAAAAGAGGAGGATTGGCAGGTGTTAGCACAAGGCTGATCTCCTCACAAAAAAAAAAAAAAAAAGAAATGCAGAGCCTTAAAATAACTATATTCAAACACAAATTTAAGAGTATAACTAAGAAACAGTCTATTCACTTTTGCAAGGTTATATAAGACAACTACTAAACGTGTCAAATCAATTTGCATATCATTAATTTAAGGTGAAAGTAAATGTTTTTCTTCCATTGGTAAGTAGTACAATTCGTTTTGCCCTAAACAGTAGTCTGACTTTACCCAAAAATACAGACTAGAATAGTACAATCCTAAAAAACAGCTACTCAGGAGAAGTGATATCTCAATGAATACTTCTGCTTCCTCTATTCCCACTTTCTTTGGAACTAAAACAACATACACTCTTAGTCCAGCTAACAAATAGGGTTTCATCAGAAGTTCCCCTAACTAAGTAGTCATAGGCACAGATGCTAAACTACTGACTATTATTATTTAAAAACCAATTGTGCCAGCTTTTTTGGTTACATCAAAGTTCACACAATACTAAATCAGTAGATTGTACAGGACACCCTTAAAAATCACTTAAAATATTTCATGCAAAAGGAAAGAATAGATAAATATTAATTTTTAGTGAGGAATGACTCACCAAGAAACAATTATAAAGTAATTGTATTTGAAGTCTTCTAATGTAAATAAATTTGTTTTCTATGTATCCACCTAACAACTAGAATTTAAAATACCCTGTTACAAGATGATTCTTAAGAATCTCCACAGAAAAGAAAAACTCAGAACAGAATTGGAGGAGTAAGATCCAACACTATTAGAGACCATTTACATCTAAAATTTTTTAAACCAAAATATGTATCTGTCAAATTCTTGATTTAAAACTTAGTTGCACATTTTTCCCAATTATGCCTTCAATTTCATGTGCAGCATAACAATTACATGTAAGTATCAGGTAGAATGGAAATTTTGTTTTCGATGATGATGATCTTGAGCCAAATTATACTTATCTTTATCATCACATTACAGTCAATCATGTATAAACTGCACTGAAGAATAAATTTTGCGTTTCAAGATGCCCAAGCATATGGTTGATAACTCTAACTATACCTCCCCATATGTGAAGACAATTAAGTGGGTATATATTTCAGCAATGGTACATGCAAAAAGAAGAGATAAAACTTATCTGTAGCTCAAGAATTCACAGGAGCATTTACTGAATCATACTTGGCTAGTTGGGCCAGTTGGCTAGGTGGTTTGACTTCAGAAGTATTTTCTAAGATACTGTCCATATATCTGGGCATAATTTCATATGAAAAACCCAAAGGAGAAAAAGAAACAAAACTTAAAAAAATTTTTTTGAAATACCTTTAAAAGTTTTAGGATGATTAATAAAGTGTTTAACTTTCACGTTTTGTTTTCTGGGCTTGACAACAGGACAGTTATGTAAAAATCACCTATAGCCCCGAATCATCACGTTTCCTAAATAGTATAGTAGAAAATTGAAAAACAAAGGCAGGACACAGTTTCAGAAATACACAAATCAATGATAAAAAATGAGAATCTAAAACTCTTCACAACCTAGACAAGCTTTCTCTTCTACAAAGAAATGAAGGTAAAAATGGAGAATGCGAAAGAGAAATGGTATAAACTGATTAAAGAAAATTCCATATAATAAAACTTGTAATAAACTCTTCTCCCCATCCCATCTCTACAATTTCTGAGTGCTTTCCGCATCTACTTAACAATTATACTCCTTAACCCAATCAACAAATTCTTTATCATCATTATGTCACTGGTTTCTTTTATGTAAGTTTTTCTTATCTCATATTTAGGTACCTCCCAAATTGGCAAAACCAGATGTGAAATTCAGGGACTTGTGATACCATTAGTAACAAGACACCCCCCCCAATATTCTGAAAATTAATTTATAAGTTTGTGACTGTCTAGATGAAGCATACTTTCAAATTTAACATACAAAGCATGACGATTTGGAAAGCAAACCGTTATGTAACACTTACTTTACGTCCCTCAATTAATTACTTTAGAACCATAAAAGAGTGCTCTTTCTTTTTTTAAGGTAAGTACTGCCCATGTTGCAATTTTTCTCAAGACTGCCGTTTTTCCCAAGCAGAGAAAGCAATTTTCTTAATTTCCAGGAACATGACAACTGCTTCTTTAGAGAACAGGGAATGAAAAAAAATATACTGTCAGCAATTTTAAGATCCACCTCCTCACACAAGCAGTGATCCAGGCTGATATGACATTTCCAAGATCCTCAGGAACTATATACCATGCTGCCACAAACATCAGGAGAGAACTCGGGGACGGAAGAAATGCCATCTTGCATTTGACGTTGCTCTAATACCTATTTCAAACTTAAGTCTCCTCCGTTATCTCAACGTATCTCCACAACTAGCTTAAGGAGCAAGGGAGAGGGCTGGTCGCCCAGCGCCTCTATGGGACACACAACCCGGTTAAAGGACACGCACACCGCTACATCTTCAACGGGAATAACAAAAGCGATGGCAAAGCGTTCTAGACTCCCGAAAGGCTAATACCCCCCAAAGAACCCCACATTTCAATCCTTTAAGCAATGTCCCCTCCCGCAGCTTCGCCTACTCAGGGGCCCCGGGGAACTGCGGCGGGGCTGCGGGGCGGCGGCGGAGGGGCCGGGCGGGGGCGGAGAGGGAAAGCCGCTCGGACGGCGCTCACCTCGCGCACCTGGGCCAGGGTGGAGGGAGCGACGGGCCTCTGGGGACACCCCCAGCGACCGGGCCAGCAGCTCTGACTCACCTGCGGAGCCGATTTCCATTCATGGAGCTGGGGGGAGTGCTTCGAGTGAGAAGGGCGTCCGCCACTGGGGGCAAGGAGGCGGCGCAGGGGGCGACGCGGCGCGACAGGCACCCTCACTCAGCCCCGAGGTGGGGTAGCGACGGCTTCTCCTCAGCAACCGCACTCCGAAGGCTCTCGTCAGCAAGAGCCACCGTCGGGAAGCAGCACAGGACTATACGAGAAGGAGGAGACGCGTGAGGCGAGGAAGGGGAGCCCCGTGCGGAACTTGCGTCGCCCAGGGCCGCTTACGCTCCCACTGCCCCTCCACGACTGCGGCGCCGCCGCCGACCTCCCCGGGGGCCGCCCCCGGAAGTCCGCTGCCGTCAGTTCCGCTGCCCCGGCTTTCCCGACATCTAAGCCTCGCCTCTCCGCCCCAAGCCGGGCTGGCGCGACGTCGGTGCGGGCGCGGCCGGAGCGGAGACTCAGGGGAGGTGTCGGGGAGCCGGCGCCGAGCCTGGGCGGAGCCTGGGGCACGCGCGGCCGGAGGCTGGCGAGCTGGGCGGAGCGGGGCAGGGCCGGCCCTCCCGCGGTTCTCCGCTGGGCCGTGCCGGCCGGAGACAACCCGAAGAGGCAGGACCCCTCGCGCCACCCTGGTGCACGGCAGTGCCTGCCTGAGGCGACGTCGGAGAAGGCGGCATAGCTTACCTGGGGAGGAGCCCGTTGGAGCGAGGCTGCTGAGGTCCAGGACCCAGACCTGCAGCTGAGAGGGCCTCCAGGCCGAGCACGTCTTGGGCAGGGCCACCCTCCTCCCCGAGCCCCTCCCGCCACGCCCAGTTTGGGCGGTCCCACGCGCCTCCTCCTCAGCAGGCGGTCAAGTGACCGCCGCTGTTGATCACTCCAAGTCCGTAGGGTCGCTCTGACTTTTTTTTTTTAGGGAAAAAATGTGCAATATAATTTGGGTAAAGATGAAGGAACACAACATTATACAAATATCAGATCGAATAATTTCCATATTTAAAAGTCCTGAATAGCGCCTCGTCACACTGAGAAGACCCACAACTCCTTTCCAGGGCCAAAACACGGCGTAACGGGGCCCCAGCCTTTCTCCTCAAGCAAGACTCCCTCAACGCTATGCTACAGCTATACTGGTCTGCTTTTAATTTCCCCAACAGGCAAAGCGCTTCTCTTTCCGACCTGGAGCCTCTCTGCCTTTGGTTCCCTTGGGCAGTAACCCTCTCCTTTTCTCTCTACCCTCACCTTCTCCCCTTCCTTCGCCGCTGCTTCTTATACCCCAACGTCAGACTTATCTCCGAGAGACCTTTTCCCAGCCACCCATCTACGGTGTGGGGCACCCTTTATTCTATTACAGTATTTCCTTAATAACCCTTTTCCCAATTTGTAATTCGTTTTAATAGTTTATTGTGTGCCCCCTCCCCCACTAGAATGTAAGCTTTATAAGATTACCAGGGCCATTATACTAATTGGCAAATAGTAAATCCTTAATATTTGTTGCCTTAATGAAAGGTGATACTACTTTTTTCAGGCAGAAGAATGATTCATGAATTTTCCCGATGCCCCTAAGTATCAGTAATTTTGTTTAGACTTCTGAAAAGTCAAAATAGATTCTCTTTTTAAAGCTTGGGACAAAGAGGAAAAGGAGAAAAAATATCCCATCTTCGGCTCCCCCCAATCACTGTGGGACTTTGGATCAGTCACTTGACCTGTGGGCTTCAGTTTCCTCCTCAGAAAAACGGAGAGAACAGATACCTTATACAATTGTTGCAAGGTTAGGAAATATACATCAAGCACAGAGAAAACCCTCCCTAAATGTTAGTGAATTAAAAAAGTATTTACTATAGTTACCATTTTAAAGCACTTCTTACATGCACCTACCATACAGTAAAAGCTTAATAAATGGATGGCATTCAAACCCACATCTGACTCCAATTCTGCCTTTTTCCTTCCCACCTCTACCCCTTTGAATGAAATTGCCCTCCCCAATTTTAATATTTGAAATTAAATGTCACCAGATGAAACACTTTATCTTAGCTATTTTCAATCCCTGACTGTACACAATCCAAGTCAGTAGCAGCATCTGACAAGGTTAAATATCAACTCTTGTGAAGGGTTTATCACACCGTCAACCCTCCCTGAATCTGAAACTGGTTCCTGAAATGATTGCAGGCTTCTTTGGCTTCTCCCAATGGTGATGGTGATAAACCCTGGAGGTGGGCCACTGGCTTCTTTGTTGACATTGATGAAGCAGGATTTGGACCCTCTAATTCGGGCCAATTTAATAAATGTCAATGATGCCTTCCCATCTATTTCTGCAACCCAGGGACCCCGCCTCTTTAGAGTGAGCCCATGTGGAAGGTTCATGAATTGTAATATCAGAAAGTGAAAAGGCAAAAAAGTTTAAATAATTCTGCCAAAAGCGAAGTTGTATGAGGCTCTCCCCTGACCACACAAACTCCTGTATTTTTCGATAACCTCATTCCCAAATGAATCTGCTCTTAAGGGGCATAGAGCAGGGTCTTTGTGTATCTTGTTAACTGTCATAGCACCAGTGCCTAGAACAGTGCCGCACATAGCAGCATTCAATAAATATTTGTGGGACAGATGGATGGATGAATAAATGAGTGGGCTTCAAAAACGGGGCTCAGGAAGCAGGCTAAAACTCTACCCTCATCCTTTGTGGCACTAGTTGCTCTCAGAAGGGAGACCTACAGAAATAGTACAGAAATCTCAGGAACAAGGAAATCAGTGCCCTCTGAAAGTGGCATTCCTAGGCTTCCTGTGCTAGATAAACATCATCACTGGGTGAGGAGAGCTTCTAGATAGAATCCTCTCCTCTCACATGGGCTCAAGTTAGTCAACTTGACACTTGAATTCAAACCTCTTCTAGACCAGCAGTTTTTACACAGCAGAAAGAATGTTACTTTGCACTGCAGCAGACACATTATAAAACATACTGGCTCTAGGGACAGAGCTCAGACAGAAGGCCCTCTGCTACCATCTGTGATTCTAGGAAAGTCACTCTCTTTGAGCCTCACATTCCTCATCTGTAAAAACCAGAGTACCTACACAGAGCAGACACTGCTGGATGCCTAGCCAACAGCCCTTAGCCCCTTCTTTCTTGCCTAGCAGAAATGACTCGTCTTTCTAATCCACATGACTCACAGAGTAACTCCTAATTAATCTAAGCCACGCATGATGGACAATCTAATTTGCTTTGCCAAAGACAGAATAGGAGTGGAAAGATGATCCATTTCTAGCAAGTGAGACGTGAGGCCAGATCTGCTGGTGCTTCTAGGGATTTCCTTACTTTAAAATGAAACACTGGGAAAAATTAGTCCCTCTTCGGCTAGACACCTTCTGTCACCATTTCCTTCCTGGAATTACAGTAGTCATCTTGGGACCCTGAGGTGAACTAGCATGAAGATAAACCAACACAGAGGATGGCAGAGCAGAAAGACTGCAACAACCTGGTTTGTCGGTATTATCATTGAGCCAGTGACTTAACCAACCTTGGAGCCATATTAAATCAGGACTTCTTGTCAAGTGATAGTTTCCTTATTTAAGCCAATTTAATTGGAGTTTTGTTATATACAGTTGAAGGTAACTGATAAACTACGTCACATGAATGCTGTGAAGATGCAATTAAATAATAGATACTGTACAAAACATGTAGTACAAAAGTTCAAAGTACCCAACTTCCTCCTCCTTTTCCAGTTCACTTCCATTAACAACACACAGGCCTTTTCCAAAAACTTGGCTGGGAGCTCCCATTGCCTCTTTTAAGAGGAAAGTTCCTTGCCTTAAGAAGGAGGGGAAGAGGTATGGAGGGCTCCCTAGAAAGGTCCCTCAAGATCTCTTTATCCCAAAAAAACACTGCCAGGAGGACAGTGTGTTCCTGCAGCGTAAGCCACAGTGGCCTAAAAAACCTTGATATCGTGTCCTGGGGAAAGCAGTCGTGGTGCTTAAGTGGAGAACTTCTAAATGCACCTCATCTCCAGCAAGTCCACTTTTCCAGCTCCTCCTTCTTGACATAGATGCTTTAAAGCATCTATGCTTCTGTCATGCTCTGTGCATCTTCTAAGCTTGCCAGATTTCCTCAGCCTATAGCCAGAGGAATAAATGTCCTGAAAGCCAGAAACAAAAAGGGAGAGCTAATTTTCCAATTCAATGCTACTCTCCATTCAGCAGTACAGACAGCAGCTTGGGGGTGGCCCAGGCTCAGAACTTGAAAGCAGTCTTCTCTTTGCACTATAACCCTTTCCTTGAGCCACCAAACCATAACTGCCATGAGATTCTGGGGTCTGCTAAGCCAAGAGATAACCCAACAAATACCCAGCCTCTCTCTGCACCAAGGCACTTGCTAGACAAGAATGTGCTACAGTATATGTTGCGAATTGACAAGACAAAGGGAAGGCTGCTCAACCAACACTAAAGGGATGTCCAGAGGTGCTAGGACAAGCCTTAACTCAAAACCTTGAGCTCCAGGACCAGAGAAATCAGGCCTTGGGCTCTCACCATCTTTTTCTCTTGAGTAGCAACCAACAGCCAAATCCTGAAACCTTTTAACATCAATAATTTCTAGGGGCCGGCTCCGTGGCATAGTGGTTAGTGCTCGCGCTCTGCTGCTGGCGGCCCGGGGTTTGGATCCCGGGCAAGCACTGACGCACCGCTTGTCAGGCCATGCTGTGGCGGCGTCCCATATAAAGTGGAAGAAGATGGGCACGGATGTTAGCCCAGGGCCAGTCTTCCTCAGCAAAAAGAGGAGGATTGGTATGGATGTTAGCTCAGGGCTGATCGTCCTCATCAAAAAAAAAAAAAAAAAAGTTTCTAAAATTTATGGCAAAAATACGCCATAATGAGCATCCTCCCACTCCCTCTGCTAAATACTTTATTTCTGCTTCATTAAGGGTCATAAATTTATTTTAAGTCTTATTTCGACTGGGAAAAATCTCCTTCATGTTCCAATTTGCTCTTCAAGTTCAACCAACCTCATTAACTCTTGCTGCTGAAAAGGAGCATGGGTCTGGCTGGCTTGCTCCCAAGGGAATCTGGCAGGTGGTAGCCATAAGTTAGTTCTGCAATCTGAAAAGTCACAACACTTGGCCTCCAGAGGAATGCTAGGCACTTATGTACACACTAGCTGCCACTGAAAATTTCTCACTGGGCTCTATGCCAGAATCCTTCTCTGAGCCATCTCCTCACCAGTACACAGAAATAACAAGCTCTAGCAATACCAGGGAGGAATGCCAGAACTTACATGCTTGACAACTGTACCATCAGCTTACGGGACAAAACCACAGAACCTCCAAGTTGGAGTGAGAGTGAGAAATGATGGTAATCTAGTTAAATTTCTGCTTACCTGAAGATTCAGGAATGCTGAGTCCATCCTGTGCACTCAATATCACTTCTTGATTCCCCCTACTCTGTTTTCATGAACCACATATTTCTAGCTCATTTCAATTCTATTCACAAATATTGACCCCTTGATATATATGCTATGGCCCTGAGATGAAAAAAATGAATAGAATGTAGTTTCCACTCCTCGGAGTTCACAGGCTCTGGGGAAAACAAGTCATGAAAATAAATAGAGCAAGCTGCTAAGTGCTATTGAGTGCACTGGAACACCATTTATGACACTAGTTAGGAACAAAATTAGGTTTGTTTATTTTATTCTTTTACAAGTATCTCCTGAGGACAGGAGGGAGGTGGAGGTGGTGGTGGTGATTGTGGTGAACGACATGGAAGTCCTAGTCCTAGCCTTATTTAAATTAGGTTTTTCCAATGATTATTTTCAAGAAATACTGGAGAATGACCAGATAGTTATAAGATCCCAGAGAAGATGGGAGGAGGATGGTAAACTAAATAGAAAAAAATACCTTCTTCTCGCTGCAGTTCATGCTGTTAATCACGCCCTTCTTGGATCCTATTTCACTCTCTCGATTCTTCTCCCATCTTATTAAATCAGTCAAAAATATACAAGGTCTTGGGCCGGCCCGTTGCTTAGCGGTTAAGAGCGCGCGCTCCGATACTGGCAGCCCGGGTTTGGATCCCGGGCGCGCACCGATGCACCGCTTCTCCGGCCATGCTGAGGCCGCATCCCACATACAGCAACTAGAAGGATGTGCAACTATGACACACAACTATCTACTGGGGCTTTGGGGAAAAAAAAGGAGGAGGATTGGCAATAGATGTTAGCTCAGAGCCGGTCTTCCTCATCAAAAAGAGGAGGATTAGCATGGATGTTAGCTCAGGGCTGATCTTCCTCACACAAAAAAATATACATATACAAGGTCTCTACTAGTTATTTGACAGTCATCTTAGGCTCTGCTTCCCCCCCTCATCCCTTAAATTGTGTTTCCTAGAGCTGTACACTATGTTTCTCTTGCTCTACTCTTTTTCTAAGCCATCTTGTGCATTCCTGTGGATTCCTATGGCTGTAACTACCATCCAAATGAGTAATTCCATATCTGTAACTGCAGTTTTGTAGTCTTCCTTGAGCACCAAAACGTAAGTGTTTACTGGAAACCTTAACCTCATTGCCCCATGGGAAGCTCAAAACTCAGTTTATACAAGGCTAATTGTCTTTATTCACAAAATTCATCACCTTCCTTCTAGTTTCCCCTTTCCCTCAATCTTGGTTAGAGGAACGTCCCAATATACTCACTTGTTCAAGCAGAAACCTGGGCATTAGCCTCTACTTCTCTCTTCTCCTTCCATCATCCATTGAGTCCTATTAATTTTACCGCCTGAGTGTCTCTCAAATCTGCCCTTTCCTCTCTATCTTCACTGCTATAGCCCTATAGCCTTGTTTCAGTCCCTCATCATCTCTCTCCTATACCAGGGGACCATTTGGCTACTCATATCCCCCACCAAACTTTAAGCTCCTTAAAGAGAGAGACACTGTTTTCCTCGTTTTTTGAACCGTGCCTGACCTCTTTCCCCAAATGCTGCTGGACACAGCGCTTTGCATGTTTGTTGAATGAAGAATAAATGGAGGCCCTGTAAGGTTATGATTACATAAAATCCACAGTTTCAACTCGCTGGAATTTGTTTTATCCACTTTCCTTCTTTAGAAGTGATGGTTCTGCTCTTGTAACAATCTACTATTCTAACCTAAAATTTATCAGAGCTATAATTAATCCCAACAGTTTGCTTTGCTAATGGGAAAAAAAAAGAGAGAGAGACAGACCGCACTTTAGAAATAGAAGCCACTGTTGTCTTTATAAAACACAGAATTGTGCTGCTGTTGTTGCTTGCTTCAGAAGGAACTGTACATTACAGCTGCTGGGATAATTTTACAATGGACTGGACAAGGTACAGCTCAAAGCAGGACACAAACACAAGTCTCAAAGGGAAACAAATGCAAACAAGTACACAGCTGTGGGGCTCCAGGGACATTTCCCCATCCATGCTGGACTTGAGAGGGATAAAAAGTTTAGAAACTAATGTGAAACCCAGAGTAGTCACACACGCCCACCAGACGGCTGCTAAGTGCCAACATCACACACCAATCAGGTTGGACTGTGTGCACAGGAAAGTCATTTCATTTTTCCTTATTGCTACTACACCAGGGGACTCAGTGCATTCGACACATTGTCTTTACTTGCACAATCCTTGGAGGGTTTCCTATTTTCCTTTTTAAAGAAGGAAATCTGCCTTCCCCACCTTATTCTGGTTTTTTTGTTTTGTTTTTAGCCCATTCCCTCCACTCCCTTTCATGGGCTCCCAAACAGCAGCCAGAGGTTCTAAGTCAGTAGGAGTAGAGTAAGAGGAGAGCACCAACCTAGCCTCCCTCCCTGCCCAGGGAGAAGGCAAGTCCTAATAAATGGGGGGAAAGAGAAAACCAGAGAATCCCTTTACCCCAATCTGCTTAGAAGGCCAAATAGGAAAGAGTGCCCTGCATATCCCTGCCATGATCAGACTTTAAGAAGGAAGGCATCCCAGCTACCATCCTGAATTGGCCTAAGCCCAGTAAATATAAATAAAAATAACTCCCCCTGATGTAGTTTCCAAAACTGCATTTTGGCTAGTTTGAGATGACTTTCTACCCTGAAGGGGAAGGAACTTCCATCCTTCTTTGTTACACATGATGCCAGGTCTAAAACACTGTCCCACCAGCCTTGCAGACGTCCTGTGGGCCAGCTAAGAAGTCAAAGTGTCCCCTCGGCTGCCCATCTTGAGTGCTAGCCTCATTTACAGAATTCTGGATCAGAAAAAGAAGACTATCCAAGAACACTGTTGCTTGGCCAAAGAGGAGGCCACAGAGGAGCTATCTAGTAGGTAGGAACCAGAAGCTTTTTAGGGAGGTTTCACACTTTTAGGTACCTTCTTCTTCAGCATTATTCTAAGCCTAAGTTCCCAGCAACAACAGCCCCAGGCTTATCCCCAGAGGCCAGCAATAGCACCTCAACCCCCAATGGGTCAGGCTGGACTAGAAAAATGATCAATGAGCAGTGCTCTCCTTTCCCACCTTTTATCCAAATTCTCTCCATTTTCTTCCCATCACTCTCTTCTTCCCCCATGTCCATTCTCTAACCCTCCAACCCCGGATACCCAAGTAGCTTAACCCTAGGAAATTCTCAGAGAAGGGAAGCCCCAGGTAGAGAGAAATGGAAAAAGCAATGAGAGGAACCAACTCCAAGGAATGGACAGGTGTGGAAGTTGCCAGAAGCCCCCTGATTTCATGCCATTTGGGTAGGCCTGCTGCTCTACCCTCATGTAAGCTTGAGGGCAGTCCAGCCCAGAAAGGACATCACTGGGCTAGGAGAACAGATTCTTCGTCTTCTGCAGCCAACGAGCTAAGCCTGACCTTGCCAGCTAACAGTAGGATCATTGTAGCCATGCACAGAATTCATCATCATATAGGCAGACAGGCAGGCAGGCCAGCAAGCAAGCTGAGTGAATAGAAAAAAGGAAAAGGAAGCCAGGGAAAGAGAGAAGAGGAAAAGGAAGGCAAAGGAGTGGAATGAAGGGAACAAGAGACCTAAGAGGATGAGGCTGGGGTCTCCCCAGTGTTTCCTCAGAGCTTGGGTAAGAAGCACCAGTTAAACTAAATCCATAAAAGCCTAAGCTTGTTGCCAACACCACTTATCAATCTGCATGCACCACCTTTCAAACAAGAATAATCCTCAAGGTCAAGGATATTTTTCAAGTCTCAAAGATTAAAAAAAAAAAAGCAGAGTAAGAAGTCATTTTCTTGCCATTGCCCAAGCTGCTTCTCTTGCTTTTATTTCTTGAACGCCATGTGCAATGCCAAAGGGCTAAAAAATGCATTTCAAGCCCCAGCTCAAAACCCAACTGGAGAGAGTGAGGCAAAGAGAGAAAAAGGAGAGAACACAAACTTGTTGCTGAGAGTACGTGGCTACCACCAGCTCCCTATGGACATTTGCAAATGCTGGTGAATGACTGGACCCTCCAGAAACAGTGCCCTGATCCCAGCCCCAAAATGCACCCAAGAAGAGAACATGCAGAACCCACTGTTCCAAAAGAGCTCCCCTCCCCAAAGGGTGACTGAACACGAAGTAGACAGTATATGAAGGCGATGGACAGGGTAGATGGAGTGTTGGCATCACTCTCTTTAGGCACTTGTGTAAGGAATGTAGGCTCTCCAGTGAGCTGCCTCCTCCCAGAGCCCTCCATTCTGTTCTTCAGCTGGGCTGTGCCCATGGGGCACCCCATGCTGTAGCCAGTAGGAAAGAAGTAAAGGAGGAGTTACTCAACAGTCCTGATGCCTTCTCCATAATCAATGTTTGTGCTACGTTTTGTGAAGTCACTGAACAAAGTAGCCAACCAGAACAGAACCTGGGATAGACTGTTTTGCATAGCAAATCTGGGTCTGTACAAGGGCTGCTGGGGAGGGGAAATGGTAGCTCTAACTGCACAGGCCCGGATTCAGACCGGCCTTCCTCCGGCTGGCCTCTAAGCCTGAGCTAGGTCTAAAGTGTCATGGCTTCATCACCAGACTAGGGCAAACCCAAGCCCAGGCTCCTCAAAAAGAGGAATTTCTGCACTGAAGCTGCAACTCCTCATCCCAAGCAGTGGGACAGGAAAAAATAAACAGTCAAGAAAAGAGGGGGCCTTGCCTCAAGGCCAGCAGACACCAAGCTAGAACCCCCTACTTTTCCAGTTCTGCAAGACAGCCAAACCCCATCTCTATCCAGGGAGACCAAAAAAAGAAAAGAAAAAAAAAAGCCCATGCCACCCACTCACATGCCCTAGTGGGAAACCAGGAAAAATTCATTTGTGTAAACAGAAGCAATAGGGAGCAGCAAAATCCCCTAGCCTGTCCCAAGGACATACTGGAATCTGGGATGAGCCAAAGCATCAGAGGATAGTCCAGAAGAAGGGAAGATGTACTTGCAGGAAATAGTGCAGGGAAGTGCAGAGGAGGGAGCCTGTAGCAAGAAAAAGGTATTATCTGCACAGAGGAAGGATGGAGCCTGAGCCCCACCTTGGGGAGATAACTACCCCCCTACCTAGCCAGGCCAAAGAACAAGTCACGTACATAGTTCCTTCTGATGGCTCAATGTTTCTTGGATGTAAACTCATTGGGCATAGGAAGGATTTCCAGATTTTGGCAATAGACTCAAGTTATGGTATAAAAATAACATTTAGCTTTTGTTCTTTTTTCTTATTTTAGACCTAAGGATTGTTTGTTATAAGATGCCCCAGTTAAGAAATATTGAAACATAAGAGACTTGACCATCAGGGAAAAAAAGAAGCCAGAGTGAGAAATGTTATGAAAGTAACTCCAGACCCAGGTAGGTGGGGAGGTAGGGGGAACAGGGAGAAAAGGAGGCATAAGTGGAAAGGCCATGGGCCAGTCATCTCAGCAGCTCTGGGACTTGTCATGTCTGAAAGTGCAAATGTCAATGGATTTTAACCATCTTGAGGTTATCTTTTTAAAAGCTCAATGAATATGGAAGTCAATTCCTTCAAATGCAAAATAGCTGGCGCTCTGGCTGGAGGCTTGTTGGGTTGGGGATATTTCTTCCCCACCTACCTCCTCTCCCACCCCCACCCCATCCCCCCAAAGAAAGGTACAAAAGGTTGCAGTTCTGCAGCATTACCGTTACAGGGAAGGCACTGGTTACCCACCAGCAGGCGGAAGGAAGACAGGGTCATGTCACTTCAGAGCTAAGTGCCATAGTGCCTTAAGTCTTACTAGGGCTGGATGTCTGTCAAGGAGGAGGTGTAAAGTGGGCTAGAAAAGGTGGAGAGCGAGGAGTAAGGGAAAGGCGGGTGGCAGCTGGGGGAGGAGCAACCAAAACCATTAGCATTAAAAATCTTCCTACAAACTGGATTCTCAACCCATTAAAACACCTAGTATCCTAAAATATTGATCTGGGTCTGGTTTCGTTTTTCTTCTTAAACAAATCTAGACCTTTTCTGATTAAGGCTCCTAAAAAATCCTTCCCTCCTCCCACCCAATTTCTCAAGCCCCTCATTTTCCCATCTAAAGTATCATACCCAAACCTACCAGCTTTTGTCCGCAGGGCTGCAGAGCCGACCTTACCAAGCTGTGAGGCATGAGTCTTTAGCACTGTGAGTCACATGAGACACCTGTGTGTATGGTGGGCACCGGTGCTGCCCCTCTTGGTCCAGTGGGGTCAGGGCCAGATGTGACAAGATGGGGTGAGGAGTGGGGGGCATGAGGTGGATATCAGAGATTTCTGGCTGGTGGTCTGGTTTACTGGCCCTGTTCCCTACCCTTTTGCCCCCACTGTAGAAGGAAACAAGGCCTTCTGCACTCCTCCGTATCCCACCTCCCTCCCTGCTTCTTCTGGATTTGGGCAGCACAGCTCTTGGGGCTTGGAAAGCTTTCTTCTATCCAGTGAGGTAACAGCGTTCTGCCTTCAAGCGAAGTACATGGTGCGCAGAGTATCCTGGTGAACCTGCACGGCTTTGGCCAGGGCCTGGGGGTCCCGCCCATTGCTCTGCCCCGATATGTGGCTCCCCTCTCCACTGAAAAGGAAAAATGAAAGAAATCCTTCCTGGTGAACTGACCTGCTGCTAATCCTTCCCCCCATCCCTAGGGTACCAATTCCCATACCAACTTAAGAGAAAATCCCAACCCGGATGTGGGCAAGTGAGCCCAAGGACACCAAATTGGACAATACCCATTTCCTTCTACCTAAGGAAAGTTGAGAGGATCTGGTACCAGAGGCTGAAGCAAAAAGGAAGCCAGCCTCATTCCAGGCCTCACCTGTCATGTTCCTTGTCCACTAGGTGGTATCGTGCCCGGAAAGCCACCAGGCGGGCATAGTAGGCAGGTGCTGGGATAGAGACGGAGCGTGTGCATCGTACATAAGTGTGGCACAGCTGGTACGTCAAGATCTGGAGCTCATCCGCTGTGAAACGGTTGTCATCCCAAAGGACATAGTAATGGGATGGTCGGCTGGTGCCCTGGGAAGATAGGAAGGTGAGGGGCCCCAGGTTGGGCAGAGGGGATGGCTGATGATAAGGAACAGGATCACTGTTAAGAGTATGGCTGGGCTGGAAGACCCACCCATGAACAGGCAGGCACAAAGCCACCTAAGTCATAAAGCACCCTTCTTAGGGGCAACCTGCCTAAGATGCTCAAAGTACACTTCTGTTCAAGTGCACTAAGGGCTTATTAAGAGAATAGTACTGATTTGAATGCCACTCAGTGATATATTCTAGAGGCAGTGGGAATAATCAACTAATCTGTGACCCATTGAAACCCCAGGACATAGCCCAGCTACCTGGATGCCTGCGTGGCTGCACAGATAGAAGTCAAACTCAAATGGGTGGGTGATGTTGGTGTCCACAGTGGTCCCAGCTGGGATGTTACCACTCTTCCCAATCTGTATAGAGACAAAGACAACCAAGATCCCAAGACCTGCCTGGCCCTAACTAAGGGCCCCAACTCAATTCTACTCTGACTCCACCAGAATCCCAAGAGTAAAGCAGAAGTTGCTGTTCCCAGAGGATACCAGGTCTTGAAATAATGGGCTTCTAAAGTCACACGGACCTGTGTTTAAGTGCTGGTTTCACCATTTATTAGTTGTGTGATCTTAGCAAGTCATTTAACCTTTCTGAGGTTAAACTGGAGATAATAATAGTACCTACCTCACAGGGCTGCTGTGAGGAAGACGCCTTGTACAGTGTCTGGCACATAGGAGAAGTTCAATAAATGGTAGTTCCCTTTCCCTTCTCTGGGAGCTGGTCTATATATGGGGTCTATAGGCCAGGGCGCTAGGAGGAGGGAGAGGAAGTATAAGGGAAGGAGGGGAGAAGAGGGGAACAAAGGGAAGGAAGTGGTAGAGGAATGACCACAAGAGCTAGGGGGAAGAAAGGGGTCAGGGAGGATGGATAGGCCAAGGACTAAATCCCCTGATTTTATCTCAAGGGCTCCTTCCATATTAAGAGAAAGGAGACAGGATGAGGTATGGGTGGCTTCTTCAGTCCCTTACTCACTCGCTCATTCTTGTCAGCACAAAAAAGGCGGGTGTGATGACGTTTCTGCACCACAATATAAGTGATCCCAGGCTGGTAGTCCTTTTCCAGTTTGATGCAGGCATCACGAATGGCCAGCAGCTCATAGTGGAGGATCTAGGCACA